GGTTGACGAGTTTCGCAACCCTAGCTGCTACAATCCGCCTCCATCCTTCAGTTCAGTTAAAATTGATTACTTATTTTGATATTTTTCATTTTTTTTTTTTTTTTTTTTTTNATTTTTGATGAACATGGTCTTCATGGTGGAGTAGATGGGGGTGGCGCTGCCCGCTGGATGACGGGAACGACGGGTTCATGGCGGCGGCGGAGCAGGAGAAATGGGTGATGGAGCTGATAGACTCGAAGGCAGGTCGAGGCCCGCATCGTTTTCTTCATGTGTTTCTACTTCTCCCTTGAAGGATGTTCGGATCTATCATTGTATTGTAGGTAAAAATTCGTTATTGATCTTCATATGCCCTAATTTTGACGCATTCCGACTGTGCTTTGTGCGTGTATCTGTGGTTCTTGTGGATATGATGAACAAATAACTTCAACATCGTTCGTGCAGGATGTAAATAAGGATGGGTGCCTATATTTGTTTGCATTTAATAAAATTTGTTGATCTTTTCATGTGGGTGCCTATATTTGTTTGCATTTAGTGCTGTCCTTAGCTTGATTATGCAGCGTTGATGAGTTGAGGATGGAGTCAAACCATCCCTGTTTACATATTATTTCATCTCTTCTTGATTATGTAGCGTTGATGAGTTGAGGATGGAGTCAAACCATCCCTCTTTACATATTTATTTCATCTCTAAGATTTTGACATATGTAAAACCTTTAGGTATATTTTTCCCATTTTTGATTCTTGGTATATTTTTATTTTTCCTATTTCGATTTTATCACTTACAACTTATATAGGCATGCAAAAGCCCTATAGGTCTGGATATGCAATAGGGCTATAGAACTTCTTTTGAGAGAGTGCGATATTTGCTTTGATGCAGTTTCTTAATCTGAATACTTAAAAAATGCTTCATCTATCTCGCAGGGTCATATGGCGAGGTCCTCCGAGCAGAATGGAATGGCACGGTAGGTTGTATTTAAGCTACATGATTGCAATTGATGTCTATATATACTTATTATAAGCCCATTTTGGTTTTACATATATTCTCGGGATTTTTTGTGTAGTGCTTATAGTGTTTTGTTATCCTTCTGAGTTT